CTGCCAAAAAAATAAATAAAAATAAAGGTAGAAGTACCTCCAGTGTCCCTCCAATGGTTGCTTCCAGCCTGCCTCTCTATAAAAGTTTTGTACCCAATGTGTTGTTATTTTGTGGTTGCTGGGGATCAGACCAGGGCCTTGTGCATGACAGGCAAGTTCTTTACCGTGAAGTACAGCCCCAGTCCCTATATTTATAATGTGATATGACCTTGGTGTCCCTAAAATATAAAGTCCTAATTCAGTCTGCCCAGAGCTATCCTTGCTGTCCTATCCAGCAAGTGAATGGAGGATAGAAAAAACCCTTTTGACTGGCATGCAAGGAGAGTGGTGAAGGGGAATCTTGAGGTCATTGCAGAGCTCCAACCTGCCCAGACCGCCACCCTAATGCACCATTTTGGTGGGCTGAGTTGGATGGGGAGGAGGCCAGATTCAAGACCTTGCATTGGCCCTGCTACCCCCCAGCCCCTCCTTGTACTCTGTTCCTGTTTTCCCTATCAGAAGCATTTTGGGCAAAGTACCAGCTCAGGAAAGTTGGCCTCTTTGAAGCAGTGAGCCAGTGTCCTGAAGCCCTTACCATGTCTAGTTGCTCATCTTGGCTGCCAGAGCTTAATAGACAGTTCATATCTCTGTCCTTTGAAATCTGTAAATGTAAATTTGGTTTTTAAACTTTTTTTTAACAGTTGGCCTCTAAAGTGCCTTGGGGTGGGGTGGGGGGAATGTTGGCACTGGTGGAAGAGATCTGTGCCCTTGGAAATCGGATTCTTTTTTGGAAAACTGCTGACACTGGCTAATTGGGCCAGAACTAAATGACCCTGCTGGTTCTACCTGCTGACAGCCTCAGCCTTGGGACTGTGCTGAAATTAGCTCTCACCGCATGGCAGAGGCATGCCTTCCTCTTTTCTTTCTTCTTCTTCTACAGAAATAGGGGGTGATTTTGTGCCTGTCACAATACAGCTTCATCATATAGAGAGCCAATTTATAAAAAGTAAAACACCTCACCTCTGCCCCTTCTTCTATATACTGTGCTGATCTAAATAACTAGAGGATTAAGTAATAGGCAGGCTCATTGATAAAGTCTCCTTTAGAGCCGTTTCATTATTGGGTTGTTTTTTTTTTTTTTTTTTGGAAAAGCTGTAGACAAACTTGCAGAATCCTAGGAAATGTATTGTTTTTTTAAAATGTGTGACCAGCTTAGTGTCCAGGTGGCCCAGGCCTTGTAGTCTTGTATTCTACTGCTGTGCCTTCTGTGAGCAAGGCAACCTTGAAACAGGACACTCTTGGGGAGATGCTTGTGTGCATTGAGGTTTTGTTGTCCAGTTCTGTTATCCATTGGAAAGGAAGGATTCCCTGCGCTAGTTGTTAGCACAGCTGGCAGGAGCTGTTGCGATCTCATTGTCTTCCAGCCATTCCTGCAATGACCTTTGAAGCAGGCAAGGTGGGAGCCCTTGAAGCACATCCCGCCAAATGGTTAGAAGTTTCAAAATAAAAGCTCCAGGCCTGAACACACCATCACACTTCCTATTTTGTCAACCAGCATTGTCAGCTGTGCCACATCTCAATTCTAAATTTAGGCATTTTTTTTTCCAGGCAAAGATTACTATGCAAAACATTTAAGAGAAGAACTGCTCAAAGCAATTTTCCCCCCAACTTCTATTTAGTTTCCTGCAATGTTTAGATGACTCATTCTCTTCCAAGAAGTTTTAAAGGAAAGAGAGGAAGGCTGTATATCGGTTTACAAAGACTGCACTATAAATTCTTTTTCTTCCCTGCCTAGAAACCCCTAGCTTTACTATAGAGAATGGAACAGCTCCACAGCCTTCATTGTCCTGTGCTCAGCCTTGCCAGGTTTTGTTGTGCCTAGGAATAAATGTGTCCCTTGTCTTGGGGCGGGGCCCTGTGCAGTTCCATTGCCTTCATTGACTCCACAGTGGCCTGCACAGAAGTCCTTCCTGGGGTGCGCCTTCCCCTGAAGGCACACAGTTAAAGTTTCCCAAATAGAGAAAAGGTGGCCTTTTATCATCTACAAAAGGAGAGACCCTGGCCACTTGTTTCCTCTTGCAGTGGGTCTAAATTGTTCCTGATTGCTAGGGGCATGTCATGCCTGTAAACAGAGCTTGCTACACCTGTGCTCCCAGCCCAGCCCTCTGCCAGAGGGAGGGATAAGTCAGATTGCTGCAGCAGCCCATTCAAATAAACAAGGGCTGCAGTTGAATAGTCCTCCCAACTAATCAGTACGGGAAAGGAAACATCTGCCTGACCTAATTGCTGTTTTATTGGTTAGGTCTTCCACTGCCTCCTCAGCCTCCTGTTCTGCATTGAAGTCTCTGTGAGCTACAAGGTGAGGGATCAGGAGCTTTCTCTTAACCTCTCCCATTTAAACAGAGGGGAGAGGCTGGGAAGCTGGCCTGAATGCAGGAGGGTGGGGTGGTATAAGCGATACTTGTGCTCACTTTCTGAGCTTCTTGCGATGCTGAGGTTAGTAGTGAGTCATTTCTCCCTATGTCACCTCCTTGAGCCTCTGCTGCCTCGGTAGGGCTCAGCTTTGCCCACGTGGGCTGGGGTGGAAAGTCGTAGGTGAAAGACAAGTGTTCTCTCTCATGGCTTCTCGTCCAGCAGTTGAGGTCATTAGTTGAGAGAACTTGCTAGGTGCCCCTGAATCCCTCCATTTGGAGGGCATCTGGGCCCTGAGAACTTGCTTATTACCATTGGCAGCATGGTGTGAAGCCAGCCTACTGGGCAAGACTTCCAGGGGATTGTATTGGAATCTGATATGGACCTTAGGAGTCAAGCAAAAGAGCTTGTAGGACCAGAGTAGCAGAGATTAAGAAGACATTAGGGATGTCTGAGTTGAACCCTTTCCTATTGTGGAAATGAAAATAGAGACCACAAAAGATTATAGCAAATGCAGAAGATACAGGAGTAGAAGGAAACACCTGTGATTGCTAATTTACGATTTCTTCCACCCCTCTCCCCACCACTAGGAGTATAACTTCAGGGCTGTTGATGATGAGAGTCATACCTCTCCTATATTTTATAATGAATACCTTACTAGAAAAAATAATCAGAGAATTTCTTATTAGAGAAATGGCAAACTATAAAAAAGATATAAACTTGTTTTTCAAATGTACAAGTTTACTAGAACCAAAGGACTTCAAATGACCATAGGATTTTACATCAAATTGTCAAGCAAAAAAAGTGAAATTAGCATTCTTACATGGCTCTGGCAAAATTTTTAATTAGCACAGTTTTTCTTAAAGGCAGTTTAATGGTATAAATGAATTCTCATTGACCCAGCAATGTTATTTCTAATAGAAAGTAATGAAAGCCTTGTTCATAGATTATATGTAATTTAATACAGTATTTTTTTTTAATCACAAAACTGTACAAGTTAAGTAAATAGGAGCTACATGGGCCAATGAGATAGCTCAGCGGACTGAGCACCTGCCTAGGCAAGCACAAGGACCAGGGTTCGATCCCCAGCACCACATGTCCCACCGGGGACATGGCCACCAAGATGTGGCGTGGTGGCACACGCCTGTAATCCCAGTGCTGGGGAAGCTGAAAACAGGAAGATCACTGCAAGTCTGAAGTGCATAGTAGGATCCTATACCAAATACATTAAAAAAAAAAAAAAAAAAAAAAGCGCTACAGCAATATATTGTACTAAAAAGATTATAGCAGAGTAATACATGAGGAAATGTTTGCAAAACAGACAAATTAAGTTTTCTGACAATGTTTATTTTTATTTATTTATTTTATTTTTTTGCAGAACCAGGGATTGAACTCAGGCCCTTGCGCTTGCCAGGGAAGCGCATATTCCACTGAGCCATCTCCCCGGCCCCTTCCAACAATGTTTATAATGCAGTCTTAACTTTTCAGAAATAAGAATGAAAGAAAAATTAGAAAAATATATAACCAAATGATATTTTCTTATTGGTAAATATTTAAGGATTACTTTGTTTTCTCTTTTGAAGTTTCTATGTTTTTCTTTATTTTACTATATATTACTTTAGAAATAAAAGTATTTTTAAGGAAAAGATTATTCATCTTGAAAAAAATACAAGTTGAAATGATTGTTTCTGAATAAAAGACTACTTCTTTTCTTGCCTGGGAGCAGAGCACTGCCAGGGCAATACGGTACCTCCTATGAGAAGGGGGCTGTTGGTGTTTGAATTTTCAGTAGTAAAGAATGAGAAGGAGCTGGCCAAAGATAAAACAAGGGCTTCCTCTCTCAACAGCCCATTGGTGCCAATCAGTCTAGTCCCCTGTTCTGTTGGACTTAGCATAACATTCCCTGTAGCATACATGGCTCTTTCTTCCTCGTTCTTCTGTGTTTCTACTGTTCTCTGAGGTTAGATTCTGGCCTTGAGTGACAGTACCAAAGAATCTGAGAGGTAACACTGATCGGGATTCACCAGCTGGAGAGCCCTTAACATAGCAGAATTAGTAATATTAGCTAATCTTGCAAGCATCCATTACTAAGGAATCACTGCTTTGGGAATATGAACTAAAAATAAAGCAAGCAAACTCCTTCCTGCTTGGAGTTTTCTGTTTAGTTAAGGACTTTGAAGTCCTTGGATGTGTGTATACTTTTTCCTAGCTCATCCTCTTACACATCTTCCCTTCTTTTGTAATTCTCTGGAATGTTTGCCTACAAGTATGTGAGAACACGTATTCCACCTAACAACAGTTGCTAGGTAGGATGTGGCTTTCAGACTGCTCTTTGGGGACCAATTGAAAAATCAAAGCCTATAACCCTTTTTCCCTCCACACAATTGCCTTTGCTAGGCTATAGAAAGGACACATTTCATTTTATTAAAACTCTTTGAGTAATCTGGCCATAATTGGGTCTGATCCAAGTGGTTATCTGATTTGCTGGGTTAAATAATGGGCTTTAATTGAATCTGTGTTCTTTGTAGAGCCATTGCTGCTTTTGCCATTGTTGCCCCCTCCTCCTTCCTTCTGTTTCCCAATTAACCTTCCTTCCTCTTTCTCTGCAGAGTAAAGAAGTCGGCCAGCAGCTCCAAGATGACTTGATGAAGGTCCTGAATGAGCTCTACTCGGTAAATAAGATGGGTCACTTGGCTGTTTAACCAGTAGAAGGAAGCAGCATTTGTCAGCTTATAGCCATAGTCATGTCAGTAAAACTGAGCTGCAGTTGTGGACAGTGCACGTTCCCCAGTGGGGGTGACCCCACCCATCTCTTTTTTCAAAGTGCAATGAGCTAAGAAATACTTTCTCAAAATAGTGTGCAAGCTCACTCTGGCCTCATTTGGGGGGTTATCCCAAGACCTAGGTCACCAGAACATCTGACACCATTAGTAAGAAACAAAGACCCCAAACAATGACAAGGAACAGTGTTGCACCATTAATATGAGCCTGTTGGAAAGAATTTATGGTCCAAGTCTTGCATCAGATCTTGGATTGATCTTGGTTTAAGAGAGAAACAGATTTCTCAATGTCCTAATATGAGGAACCAGTTCAGGCAGAGAGAGCTTTGGACCAGCTTCCTGGAGTGAAAAGCACAGTGAAGAGGCAGCTTGTGGGCCTCGAGAAGAGAACACATTTTGTACTGACGTGACTGGTACTTCAGGCACGTGACACCTGTAGCTGGTGTGTGGTGCTTCGTGTGTGGAGACATGTCAGTGTTTTCCTCCAGCCATGTTTTGTTAATGTGAGGAAAACAAATGCACACATTGTATACCAAGGGAAGTTCTATTGCTACAAGGAGAACATTTCAGTTGTACGGCTAACATGTTTTGGAGATCCCTTCCACTGCACTGCTGTGTCAGCCCTGTGTCGTTTTCCATGATTGCCCCATTATATTTAGAGGTAAAATGGTTTTCTGTTTTCTCACTTCAACTTTCTTTTTCTCCTGCTCTTCCTTCTTTCTCTTCTTCCTTCCTTCCCTTTAAAGAGGAGCAGGCAGTGGTGTGTGCAACTGAGGCCTTTGAGATTAGAGAGTTCCGTGTTCTTTGTCCAGAAGCCTAGGTGTGGCCACTTTTTAATGGCAACTGTTAACAGCTAAGCAGGGTATCATCTGCTTTCCTCCAGTGTGCTTGTTTTGTTCTGAATACTGTTCTGTGGCTCCTCTGCTCTGAAGCCAGTGCATAGATAGTCCCCGTAGTTTGTCTCTCGGTTTTCATTTCTCTCAAGTTAAGGCTTTCTCTCAAGTTAAGGCTTTCTCAAGATATGGTTTATATCAATCTAGAAACAAATTGATATAAACCATTTTCAAACTGGATGAGTTTCCTGAACTGTCTTTTCAATGCTTATTTCTTTACTTTTAGAGCATCTTCTAAGCACCAAGAAGAGCTGTTACTCCTTTCTTCTGATAGAGAACTCACTAAGACATAAATGGCACATGTTATTATAGGAATCCTTTTATTTTCCTGTAAGCATCTTGGGCCCTGCTGTTTGTAGCTTGAGAAGAATCAGGTTGGATAACCAGCAAACTCCAAACCAACTCAAATCCAGCATGCTGGTTCCACAATGGGACTCAGGACAATAGAGGAAGAATAGTGTCTGAGGATCTGCTAGCTTTGACCCCAAGTCCTAGATCTCTTTATGAGTTATGATATATAACTGAAAGGCTGCAAAATGTGCTGGAGTCGGAAAGAACACCTGGCGCTTCTGCTGTGGTCTGGGATACCTCCCGCTGCAGTCTGCCGCCATCCAGCTGCTTTATTGGCCACTAGGAGGCCACCACCAGTGCAGAGCATAAAGTCTAAGAATTGGCTGAATGTGGTGTTCCCTGCCAAGAAGTGAGTTGGTGCATGCTCTTATAATTTTACTAAGCCTTACAATAATAATAATAAGGCTTAGTAAAAATTGGATAATTTTTGATGGGAGGAGAGAAAGAATAGAGGACACCATGAAGTTCCAGAAAAATAGAACATTCTGATGCAGTGACTCTCACACAGGATGACTTTTTTTTGCCCTGAAGGGACATTTGGCAGTGTCTTCAGACATTTTTAGTAGTCACAGTTGGAGGAGTGGAAGAAATCGCTACCCACTAATGAGTAGTGGCCAAGAATGCTGTTGAAATAGGACAGTCCCCAACAACAACGTGTGTAGTGACTGAAATCTCCTGAATTAAGCAACCTAGATCCTACCTGGTGCTGGCCACTAGCTGTATAAATCTGGGGGTACCCCTAACCTCTATGACTGTGATGTCCCATACTTCCCATGTGCTGCTGTCTCTATATCCTAAAGTGAGGATGACTGGGGCAGTCGTAGTTCCTGAAATGTCAAGCTATTGTTATGGATCAACTGAGTTTTCAGTTTCTGTAGGACATTAGAAAGTTCAGAGAATAGGATTATGAGTTCTTTCTTCTAAAGGGTGAAATTAGCTTGGCTACAAATAAAGCTGTTACAGAATTAGAGTGGCTGACTGTCCCTGGGTAGCCTGGTACAGAAGAGTTTCTTGGGACATGAGACTCAGTGGTAAAACTGGGACAGTCCTAACAAGATGACTAGTTGCCCTACATGGGGTAGTGACCTCACCATGTAGGAAACTGGGGCTTCTCTGTGCTGACTTCAGGGAGCCACTTGCTATACACTTTCTCAGGGGAGTTAGGAAGAAAATGGGAAGAATTTCTTGTAAGGATCCTCTCCCTTACTTGATTTTTTGGCAAGCAGGGAAGGGCCTCTTTTTTCATTGACCCTTTAGAAAATAGAATTCATCTGTGGGCACCAGGCAGTGAAGGCTGTAAGAAGCTCACCACCAATGTGCTAGTACACACCTGTAATCCCAGCCATTTGGGAAGCTAAGGCAGGCGAATCAAAAATTCAAGGCCAACCCGGACAGCTTTCTGAGACTCAAAAAAATAAAAAGGGCCACCTATGTTCTCTTTTACATGGGTGCTTCACCCTCACCTTGTAGATTCTACTTCTTTTTCTACATTTACTTGTCCCAAACTCACTCTGTAGAGCTGTTTCTTTTCCTACTTTTATTTATTTTATGAGCAGAATATATTTATTGAGAGAAAGAAAGCTCCTGTCCAAGAGAGGGACAGGAGGGGGGCCCCCAAGCGGGTAGTTCCCTGGGAAGCTGTCTCTTCCAGGGACTTTTATAGTGCAAAACCATGTGAGGCTAAGGTAGAGAGAATGGGAACTCGCTTAGGTGGGCAGGAGGTGGGACAAAACTATGGTCAACCAATGGGATTACATATGGGACAGGGTCTTATGCTGTTGGGGGTTGGAATGAGGGATAGGGTCTTTTCCTGTTGGGGGTTGGAATGCGGGATAGGATCTCTTTCTGTTGGGGGTTGGGCTAGTAACCCACTTGGGTCTTTCCAAATGATTGATACCTATTTAAAATATCAATCCCAGGTGCTACTCATTTAGCATTTGTTTGGCCTTTAGGTCTTTAGGTCTGGTTCATAGCAGGAGCATCTGCCTTCTTTTCCTACTTTTAATAAAACTTTGCTAGCATTAAAAAAAAAAAAAAAAAATTGAGTATGTAGCTTAGTTGTGGAGACCTGCCTACAGGCCCTGGATTCAGTCCGCATTACCACTCCCCAAAAAGCTACACCAAAAACTCACCATATTTTCAATATCCTTCTTGCCTCATACCTCCTCTTAATGCTTTCAGAGGACTGATTGCCCAAGGGCTGATAATTTAAGTATTTTTGAATACCTGTGCACCAAGGGGCGAGCCCAGGTGCTTCCAAAGAAAAATCCCTTTGGCCAAGAGTCTTAGAGTCTTCCCTTAAGTAGCCAGCTGCCTTTTTGCACGTTCTCATCCCTCCCTGAAGGGCCTTTGATTTTCTTGACTGGGCACCATGTGCTAGAGGCACTGCCTGCAGCTGCTATTCAGAGAGCAGCCCCAGGAAGGGTTCTTCTACACAACAAGCAGGCTGGCTTGGGAGCCATGGTGTAAGGGGTTTTTGGTTCCTGACTGCTTCTCCAGGAATGCTTTTGCAGTCAGCCCTCTTCTTCTCAAGGAACTCTTGGATTACCTTCTTTTATTTATTTATGCCAGAACCAGGGATTGAACTCAGGCCCTTGCACTTGCCAGGGAAGCACATACTCTACTGAGCCATCTCCCCGGCCCTAGATTACCTTCTTTGATTCTACTCAGAAGCTATGTCTCTAGAAAAAAATGTACTGTTCATGCAGGCACAGATGCCATATGCGGTTGGCTAGGTAGGAAAAGTCAAAGAAACCCTAAGCTTGATGGAGAAAAGGGGGGGCATTAGAACAGCAGGCCTGCTGTCACTCCAGAGGCTGTCTGTCCTGCTGTGCCTGTGAATTTATCCCTGGACTTGGAGCAGCAGCTGTTTTCTTGCAGAGCTTCTTCAGACTGGTGTCCACAATGACCTCTGATAGTTGCTCTGCTCTGTTTGTCCGTTTGACTCTGGCACAAGGAAGGCATCATGGATACAATGACAAATAAGAGATGTCCTTCAGTATAAGACATTTGGTTTTTTAATCAAGAGAAGCAGAAAAGTAAGGGAGCAAGTAAACAAGTGAGGTGATAAGAACTTTTCTACATACCTGCACAGAGAAGGGGTGTGAGTCAGGCTCTTTGGGGGGATACTTGGATTGAATCTCAGTTGCAAAGAACACCCCCAGCCCGCCGCTGCCCAGCTCTTACTTCACAACTCAGTGCCTTTATTTCTCCAACTCTCTGGAACTACTATTGCGAGGCTGCTTGAAAAGGTTGCTTCTCTCTGCATACCCTGTTTCCTCTAAATTCCTTGTATTAGTCTTGTTCTTGGTTCTCTTAAATGTCTGGTTATCCTTAGCTTCCTGGTCATATTTAAAAGTGAGCCATTAAAGAATTTTGGGTTAGGGGCTGGGGAGATGGATCAGTAGAATAAGTGCTTCCCTGGCAAGCACGACGGTGTGAGTTCAATCCCTGGTTCTGCAATAAAATAAAATAAATAATAAATAAATAAAGCCACATTGTAAAAAAAAAAAAAAGAAGAAGAATTTTGGGTTAACCGTGGCTTTCCCTGGTGGGTGATCTGACTGGGCTATGTGTCTGGGGAACCCCAGCATCAGTATTTCTTTATCTTGGATGGTCAGATTGCTCAGAGTGCGCCCTTTTGATTTCCTAATTCATCTAGGGGCTCAATTATGAGGAAGTATGGGCCACCTCAACATTCAGTGTAGGACTTTCCTGTTGATTCTCCTGTTTTATATTCAGGCCCCTATTAAATAAACCTGATTTCTCCAGTCCAGCGAACCTTCCCTTTGTCTTCTACATGATGAGGGAAAAGACCTGTGGGCCTGACTGTTCTTAGGCTTTTGATAATTTCCCTTAAGCCCCGCCTCATGCGACTGCCAGTGTTTCTCGCAGCAATCCTAGGATGTGTCTGGTTGCTTCTTGGCTCACCCCCCTCTTGCCTTAGAATATCGTTGGTCAGTTACCACTTGCCTCCTGCTTGTCACAGTTTGCTTCCATTCTTTTTGTTTTCCTCATTTACACTAAAAATAATAACAATGAAAACTTTAGGGCTGGCGAGATAGCTCAGCGGACTAAGTGCCTGCCTAGGCAAGCACCGGGACCCGGTACCACTTGCCGTGCCAGCCCCACCCCCAGGCACACTGCGCTGAGAGTCCAGGTGTTGTGGCACACACCTGTAATCCCAACATTAGGGAGGCTGAAAACATGAGGATCACTACAAGTCTGAGCTGCACAGTGAGGCCTATACCGAATACATATATTAAAAAAGAAAATTTTCTAGCATTTCAGTGTGGCTTAGGGAGGGAGCAGAGATGAAATGTGAATTCAGTGTCTAGTGTTGCCAAAAAAAAGTGAATGAAGCCAGTTTCTCTTTCCAGACTCCCATGGCTATACTTAGCCTTGCTTCTCCACTACAGTATTTCAGCTCCAGTCTCATGCAGAGGAAATTGCCTGTTACATAGTGGCCAGAAGAAGGACTTCAAACTTTGTCAGCCCTAGGTTGGAATCCTGACTCTCCCACTTAGCCATGTGACTGGGCTCTGTTTCCTCACCTTTTAAAGTGGAAATACATGTGCCTTTTGTGGAGTTGTGAGGATTAAATGAGGTAGCAAGCAGAAAGCTACCAACATGGCAGGGATTGTTATTAATACTGTACCGTTGCCCTCCTCAGTTGTCCAGCCACACACATACAATGTACGCATCCGTGCAGCTCCCACAGGGAAGTCTCAGGGCATCAGAATCTCAGAGCCTTTTCACTTCAGTCTGCTCCGTTTGCTATCAAGCATTTTGAACACCCATATAGACGCTCTTGCATGGAAAAAGAATGCTCCAGCAGACTTGGGCAGGCACTGTGTGGCTGGAAGGAGTTTATGTAGGAGGACTGGAAACCAGCTTGAGTTCCAGGCTTTCTGGCCTCCTTGCTACGTAATGGAGTTGGATTCCTAGACAGTTGCTTTGATGGAAAATTTGAAAGTTGAGGGTTTTTTTATGTTTTTCTTATGGCAACTCTAGTTATACATTGATAAAGATTTTATTCCTTTGCATCTTTCTACCTGAATTATGCAGGTTCACAATATTCATGGGATTGTTGTTTAAATCAGAGAATCACCACACGGATAAAATAGAGAGATGGGTACGCGCACTTGGCACACAGCCAAGAGCATTTTAGATGCTCAGTTAATGATGGCTGCTGTTGTTATCACACTGCTATTCTGGTTTCCATGAGCAAGTGTCTGATATGGAGAAAGTAGGCTAGTAGAGAGCTTTTGGAGCTTTCCCCCCTCCTCCTCATTTTATACATGAAAAGTTAAAAAGTATAGGGTACTGCACAGGCCCACTTTGGGGAATGCTAATTAGGGAGGTTTCCTGCCTACTCACTTCACAATGCTGGGGTGAGTCTACTCAGTATTGGGGGTGACTAAACAACAGGAATCACTGGGCCAATGTAAGAGTAATAATTTCATGTTACAATAAATAGAAGAGGCCGGGCAAGGTGTAGTGCACACCTATAATCCCAGCACTCAGGAGGCTGAGGCAGGAAGATTGAGGCAAGTGTAAGTCAGCCTAGGCTACAAACTGAGCTCAAAGCCAGCCTGTACTACATAATGAAACTTGATTCAAAAAAGACAAAATTAGACACATACATATAGAAGAAAATAATACGTGAAGTCACTTTAATAAGAAGACACAGTGGCTCGGTTCCAATACTGCTTTCCTGTGCTTTGGAGCAGTCTTTGATATATAATGTTTGCTGAGCCAAACATTTCTGGATTTTTCCCTTGGGGATAAGAATATTGCTGCATGGGGGAAAGTTTGGCTGTTAGTCTTCAAAGCAGAGAGTTGACCCCACTGGCTTGACCTCTGGGGTGGGGGTGGGAATGTCTTGCAGGTCATGAAGACATATCACATGTACAATGCCGACAGCATCAGTGCTCAAAGCAAGCTAAAGGAAGCAGAGAAACAGGAGGAGAAGCAGATTGGTAAATCAGTGAAGCAGGAGGACCGGCAAACCCCGCGCTCCCCTGACTCCACAGCCAATGTCCGCATTGAGGAGAAACACGTCCGACGGAGCTCAGTGAAGAAGATTGAGAAGATGAAGGAGAAGGTGTGTATGCTCCCAACAGTGGTAGAGGCAGGGAGAAATTTTCTAAAAGGAAGGACTGATAGAATTTCCCAGTAGGCTGTGTGAAGAGCCAAACAAGGAAGTTCTGGGATTCTTCAGTGTGTTTCTGCTTGACTGGAATCCTAGGTATTGGAAGAACTTGAGCACATGAGCACCAAGTTTTTAACCTGTAACAGATAAGAACCAGTAATGATCTTTCCCAGCCCATTTCCCATTTTCCTAATCAAGTAAAATATCCGTGTGTGTGTGTGTGTGTGTGTGTGTGTGTGTGTGTAGAACTCTAGACCTTGTGTTTAGCTTTAGGAGTCGAGGGTACAGGGCAGACAAGGGTAGTGGTACCTCCTTCAGGGTGGCAATGCAAGGATGAAGAACGGTATTTGAAGATAGAATCAAAATGGGACACGCATCTGAAGTAGGGAGCCTCATTAACCTTTCCTGAATTCATCTACATTATGCCCTTGAATCTCATTAATCAGAATTAGAACCCAATTTAAAGCAGACACGCATGGGGAGTAGCAGCACAGTTGTGGTTCTTGAATGAACTGTACTTTCCTCTCTCAGAGAACAATCTCCCCTTAAAAAAAAAAAAAAAAGTTTGCAAAAGTGAACTTCTGTTTCCTTTTCAGCGCCAAGCCAAGTACACAGAGAATAAGCTGAAGGCCATTAAAGCCCGGAATGAGTACTTGCTGGCTTTGGAGGCAACCAATGCATCTGTCTTCAAGTACTACATCCACGACCTGTCTGACCTGATTGATGTAAGTGCTGAGAGCCAGGGGGCTATGGACATCTCTTTCTTGGCTTCAGAATCATGTTCACACATTCCCCACGTCTGGGGTCCAGGCATCCAGGGCGATTACAGAACAGTTTACAGAGAGGGTGGCCATGATCCCTCTTGAGCACTACAGAGGTGCTTGCTGTGTACCAGTACCAGGTGATACACTTAACCCTTTCTCTGATTCACTCCTCACCACAATCCTGGAAAAAGACATTATCCCTGCTTTTATTGGCTCACACTCAGAGGGTGTAGATGACTTACCCAGAACTCATAAATGACAGGCAAAATAGGCAGCTAGGTCTGATTACTAAACCCGTGACCATGCTCACTGAGCTCATCTGTCTGCCAGGAAATACTCCCTTACTCAGCAACTTGGACAGTAAAGTGATGACAAGAGCAGAGTTAGGATGCCATACTTTTTGCTATATGTATATAGCAATGAGTATTTCTCAGGAGTCTCTTGACTATCGTAACATCCTCATGGATAGACCATGTTGTCTCCAATTTGTAGATGAAGAAATTAGTGGTCCAGAGGGTTAAGAAATTTAACTGCGCAAGGTTATAGATTAGCAATGCACTGCACATTAGGGTCTAGTCAAGGAGGTGTCCAGTTGTAACTGACATCTGGCCCATTCTTATTTCTATGTGGCACAAAGATGACTGACTAAGAGAAGCAAATTAGCAGGTCGGTGTGTTTTGCCTAGAGCCAGGACAGCCTTATAGATTGTTAGCTTTTAGATCAGTCTTGGGCTTGACCCTCCGCCTATTTTGCTTCTCGTCAGACCTAGAGATCCTAGTCTGGCCTAATTCCTAAGCCAGTTCCAAGTGAAGCTATTTAAGTGTGTCCCTCCTGTCATCAAGGTGAGAAGTCTGGAGACACCTCAGCAAACAGTGGCACCCCACTCTCTGTGACTTCACATGTATCACCATCCTATCTGAGCCTGGCACTTGCCTCAGGTCTTTGGCAGTGGTGGTGGCAATAGTTGGGCTTTGCAAACCTCTGGTCACATTGCATGTGCTTGTGCCTGCCCTGGTTTCTCTATAAGCAAAATGACCATGCTTCACAGGCCCATGAGGGCTAAGATTCACTGCTGTGTAATAGCTGTGTCATGGAGGCTTGTCACTGCTGTTCTGAATCTCTGCTTTCTTTCCCACTCCTCTGCCCTCAGCAAACTGAAGCCCAGGACTAGAACCTTGGTGCTTAAATCTGGCCCACATCAGAGTTGCTTGGGGAACTTTACCACAATACAGATTCTTGTCTCCTTTCAGACTCAAGAGCTTTGATTCAGTAGGTCCTGGCCTATCAGTGTCCCCAAGTGTTATTGTCTCACTGGGTAAATTGAACCCCGGTCCTTGTTCAAGCACATCTTTGTTTTTGCTGCTGTTGATTCCAATCTGAACATTGTCCCTCAGTGGAGGTCAAAGCCCCAAAGGCCTGTCCTTCACCCATGTAAGAGAATCAATTCTTTCTTGTGTTCAATTTCTGCTATTTATCTAACACTCATTTAAAAAAAAAAAAATACAGGTGGCAAGATAACTCAGTGGACTAAGTGCCTGCCTAGGCAAGCACAGGGACCAGGGTTCAATCCCCATCACCATATGCCATGCCAGCCCTGCTCCCAGGTGCTCTGAGCCAGCCACAGAGACCAGGTGTGCTGGTGAACACCTGTAATCTCAACACTGTGGAGGCTGAAAACAGGAGGATCACTATGAGTCCACGCTGTGTCATGAGACCCTGTGTCAAATACATTAAAAAAAAAAAAAAAAGCAGGCCATGCATCTTCTACCCATTTGTCCTCTTTCGTACTTTTTCTCCCCTGGCAGGACAGCTAACCTAACCAGGGAAGCCAGGGCCTACTGCTGTATTGGTCAGCACTCATGTAACCCTTAAATCCTTCAACAGGGGTGAGAATGTGTTTTAAAATTAGTATAAAAAACTCTTTTTTAGCTTTTTTTTTTTTTTTTTTTTGTCAGTACGTATTTGTCATGCCTAGTAGTCACATTCATCATGGGGAATTGGCACCTGTGCATATTATATCTTGATTCTTCTTTTCTGTCCCCATTCTGCTCCCTTCCCCTCAACCCTTAAGAAGCTATTTTGTTCCATATTTGCTTTGTGTTAAAGAAGAACAAGTAGAAGGACCAAGAGCCTCACTTCACAGGATGTGGTTGAAGTGCTATTGAAAAAGAAGCAGCCTCCTTAGTGCTCACAAGGCACGGGGCTGCAGACTGTGAGCCAGTGCAGGGGGGCCGCTACCCAAGCCACAAGGGCAGTAGGCAGTAGGCCTGCTCTTCTTTCTTCGCTGCTCCATTCTGGTTGTATCTTATTTGATTATTGTTTGTTTTGTTTAGTTTTTTGTAGGATGAGGACAGATTAATTACTCTTTTTAGGAAAAGCTAATACTACTCAGCTCTAAATGTTCAGTAAATATTTGGGGAGACTAAACGCTTAGCATCAGGGGTACAAATAGTAATATTTTCATCTGAGAAGTATTTATAGACTCTAGGCTTTTCAAACTGTGAGTTAGGGAGCCATGAAATTTCATTTGTAAGTTCAACCTTTTTTTTTAAATTGACTATACTCAAATAGGAGAGAAAGACCAGGGTATATTAAACTAGTATTTTAAGTTTTGTTTTATGAAATTTTTATAATTTTTATGCTAGGTATATACATGCGTGCTTGCATACCCATGGGGATGATGCTGGTTCTGGGGTGTGTGTGTGTGTGTGTGTGTGTGAGAGAGAGAGAGAGAGAGAGAGAGAACTTCTTACTATCAGTTGAGAGCCACAAAACAAAGGATAGAGGATGGCCTCTTGCTCTTCTCCTTTAGCTGTAGAAGGCAAGCACTAGGATTTCCTTGGCCTAAATAGCCCCTAGTGGTTAATATGTAGCTCAGCACATAGTACATTTTTGGGGGAAAGAAAAAGACTAGAAAGGAGGACATGATCCCATAAGCCAAGATTTTATTTTCATTTTGTGTCATTTAGTATTCTAAATTTGTCTCACTTTGCTATTTAGTTAGTATTCTTTTGCTGTGTAATTTACATATAAGAACTAAACTTCAGTGTTACACTTTCAAGAGTTTTGACAAATTTCCATGTCCGCATAACCTACGTATTTATCAAGATACAAAAAAAAAAAAAAAAAAACCTTGCTGACAGATATAGTCGCATTGCCCTGGGAAGTTTTTCTTAGCCCTTCCCAGTCAGTGCCCCGCCCCCTGGCAGCCACTACTGAGACTTTTCACCAGAGATTAGTGCTGCCTATTGTAGGGCTTCATAAAGATGGGATAATACAACACACACACTTTTTGTGGTTCATTTTTGTTGCTCAGTATGTTTCTGTGCTTCTTCCAGGTTATTTGCATGTATCATTAGTTTCTTCTTTTTCTTGCTGTTCTGTGCAATAAAAAGGACTCCAAATGTGCTTTGGTAATGGACCAACGGAGCAGGAGTGAGTGCGGGTCCCGGGATGTTGGCATCGATCTTGCCACGTCCACTTGCTTTTTCCACTCCATTGTCACCTATGTTGTACCTGGCATTTTGCCTCTTTCCTAGGAGTCTGAAGCTCTATGCATATTTAAGATATTGAGGGTAAGTGGAAACGAAGTTATCTTTATAGAAACCATTACATGGACACAAGACCTAATCCCTAATTTCTTATCATAGTAACATATAAAATTTAAACTTGGGCTAGGAAGCCACATGATCATCTGACACACATAAGGAAAACCTTGACTTCAGGCCAGGAAGACATTCTGAACTCACTAGATAGTGTCTACAAACTCTAGGCTCACTGGAGTGTAATTTTCCTGCTCTATATTCCCATGGCTCTCAGTCTGGGAGCAAATGGATGAATGAAGAACAGGGTATTATCTTATGCCTATCTGGAGTGTTGTGTTTATCATACCCTGTGTACCCACGACAGGCATGAAGGACCTTCACTTCTCCTTTAGGAAATTTATTAAATGTACTCTTCCTTGTCAACTTGAGGTGGGTGTTATGAAACACCCATCTTTCTTTGCAGTTCTCTAAGTGAGGATATCAGCCAGAAAAGGGTTAATGAGCTATCAACACAAGTTATCACACATCCAGATCTGCTGACATTAAATTCTTATAAAAATTTGATTTCCCCTGAGAGGGTTTTCATCAAACATTTATATAGCCCAGAGATGGCCAGGGAAGCCCAGGGTGGCCACAGAACTCATCAGAAGCCATGGAATGCATGCTTTGTCCCCAGTGTGAGCAAAATAACTAATGTGCTGCCTTTACTCTTGGAAATCTCTGTGGAATAGGATGAAGTGTTCAAATCTCATTTATCTGACTTTGCCAAGTACTGCTTGTCTGCTAAACTCAATTTCTGGCTATTATCCTGCAGGTATGTAGATAGCCAAGGATCTAGAAAACCTATTCCAAATCTCCTGGGTAAGCTAGAGACCTGGGAGAGCTTGGGGAGCATTGTGACATCCCCATTCACTGCTACAGGATGGTCGTATAAATAGGGTCAGTGCTCTGGCCCCCAGAAAGCTCCCTGATTTTCTCAAACCACACACAGTGAGCAAAACAAAGCTTCAGGGCTATTGTATCTACTTAGGGCAGTAACTCAGCCCATGTGGATTACTTTCTGAGAGGCTCTTTTCTTGTGACTTCAATCAGCTGAGCTTTGTTGAATACCTATTAGGAGCAATACCTAATGGGGAGGAACAGAAACAAGGGCCAGGTACTGGCCATGCTCTTAAGGAGCTCATGTTCTGGTTGGGGTGATATGAAATAGCAAACCACAGAATTGGGGCAGTGGGGAGGGTAGAAGCCTGTGTCACAGGAAGGCTGAAGATGAGCATGATTCTGAGTGGAGGCTGGTTTCCCAGAGGCTATGAATTTGATTAAGATATTGAAGGTTAGGGCCAGGGATATAACTTAACAGCATAAGTACCTGCCTGGCAAATGCAAGGTCCCCAGTTCAATCCTGGGTGCCAGAAAAAAAGGTATTGAAAATTAAGTCCAATCCTAACAGGTAAAAGGAGTGGGGCAAATTTCTGGAAAGAAGAGCTACGAGCTCAGGGGAGAGGTCAGTAGATTCAAGGCTGAGGATTGGTCTTCGTTGGATATCTGCAGTGTCAGATATGGATAAATGTGTTGCCTGCTATCCGCTTCAGAGCTGTCTGTGAGGCTGGCAGTATCCCTGTTTGAGGGAGAGGGATTAAGTAGCTGATTCATGGTCACACAGTTGATGGGAGACCTGTGCTTTTCTGGCACTTGGCTTTAAACAGAGTGTGGAATTGGCTCGAAGCAGAAGAGGCCCAAGGAGGGAGGTCATATTGAGTGTGCAGACTGTACACAGATCGCAGTTGGCTCTGCCTGTTTGACTTTTTTCAGATTAGTTACCTTCACTGAGCCTTAGCTTCCTAGTCTAAAAAGTGAAGAGAGTACCAACTTTATTGGATTAATCACGAGAATTAAAAATGTAAATGTACATACTACACTTAGTACACTGACTGGTATCTACTGAATGTACTTGGAGAGTAGAACATTTCTCTACCCTTCCACGATGAGGAAGGTAGGATCTTGATCCTGAGGCTTGGGGGGAGAGATGAATTTCAGGTTTTTTTTTTGTGTTTGTTTGTTTGGTTTTTTTTTTTTTTTTTTCAAAAAGAATATAACAAAAGCCACATTTGAAGACAATAAAGCAGACCACGGTGGCATAAGGTAAGGGTATGAAATAAGGTAGAGGTAATGAAAATGCAGAGAAAAGGGAATTTCCAAAAATACTAAAGGTTCCTGCAGGACATTCTGCTCCCTCCAGGTCCCCCTCGCACACACAGTGTGGGCAGCGTTACTTGTGTCCATGAGACTTTAGACATAGAGTTCATCATCAGGGTCTGCAACAGGCTAGGCAGGAAGGCTCACGGGCTCAAGGGCAGCCTGGCTAGTTCAGTGCCCTCTCTGGAGCAGGGTGCACGTGCAGTCTCCAATCAGCCGCTTTTGTCTAGTTTCCATTTGCTCTTCCTTCCCAACTGAATTTAATGTCTTTGCATCCTCTGGCTGTAGTTAAGCTGTGAGTGCTGTTGCTCGGCGGAAGCTAGGCACCTGCCAGAGCCTTTTGGCACTGAACCCAGAGCCCAGCCCAATGGGTGCTCTGTCGCGGAGCTTCTCGTTGATGCCTAGAAGGAGGAGGCCTGTCATGTGCTTTTTCTCCCCCAATAGTGGCTGTTCCCAGTGTGATCATGATGAGAGGGAAAGGCTGAGGGAGAGTTAATTTGATGCTTGCTTATGCAATGAAATGACAATCAGGCAGATGGCCTTACTATAGCCATAGATGCTGCTCTGCTGTTTCTTCTCAGGATCTGGACTGAAACACTGTTAAGCAATTAAGGGAATAATTGATGGCCAAAGAATTTGGATCTCTGGGTCCTTTAGGAGGGGTAGAGAATGTTGCCATAGAGTTGCAGAATGACATTGCTGAGAAGGGACTTAGTGTTCACATTTAACCCAAGGATTTTCAAAATTTTGTTCTAACAGAAGAATTTGTCCTTTAGTTAGAACCCTAGTGTCTTACACAGAAAAATGTCTTGGTTGAGAGGGGCATAGGTGCTCCATATTCAAGCTGGACTTCTACTTCCTCCTCAAGGGCAGCCTGAGCCTGGCACAGAAATTCAGAGCTCTGAGCAACTGCTTGAGAACCACTAGCCTGGCCAAATCTGTTCATTTTGCTGTCAAAGGAATAGGTTCAGGTTGCTTTGCTCTGCCTCCGGTGTTGTTTGTTTTGTTTTTATTTTTTATTTTTAAAAAATTTTATTTATTTATTTATGTGTGTGTGTGTGTGTGTGTATGTGGCCAGCTCAGCCCACCAGGGGGTGGGACTGGCTGGCATGTGGTGTTGGGGGATTGAACCACGGTCCCTGTGCTTTGCTAAGCTTGTTTTAGACCACTGAGCCATCTCACCAGCCCTTGTTTTTTTTTTTAAATACAGTTGCTCCTCTTATACCTGTTTTCATTCATTCATTTTCAAACTTGCTATAGGAAATTAGAATCCATCTTATGATATGCATTTCCCCAGGAGCACATTTAAGATTTTGTCTTACTCTTGCTGTCTGTGTAGGGGCAGCTTTGGCTGACTTCCTGTTCTGCAGCCCAGAGCTGTTCTAGGGGGCAGTAAGGCTGGTAACCCATAGATCCAGCCTCCATTCACTCTTCATTTTTGATCCCTGGCTGCTGAAATGGCCTGGTGTGGTTGATATATAGTGCCTGAGCTACTTTGACCCTTAGGAATGGCAGACTATAATGTTATGATTGCATTTTGTCATAAATGACATCACCAAATATACTTAAAAATAAAAGAAAATGTTTAACCTTTCTCGTGTTTATGTATCAGCACTGTACAGGACTTGATTCAGTCACACCATTAAGTCCTTATGGGTCCACTTCCTTAATTGTTGACCTGAGAGTCCATTGAGAAGTCTCAGGCAGAGCTTAGAAGTCAGCCTTCCTCCTGCAGCATAGCCAGCTGAACGGGTGTGGTCGGGTCTGCCCTGGGGACCACCACTTTCTTTAAGCCTTGGGGCTGTCTGTAGTGTGCTCATGTGCCTTCTCCTTCCCACAGCAGTGCTGTGACCTAGGCTACCATGCTAGCCTGAACCGGGCCCTGCGCACCTTCCTGTCTGCTGAGTTAAATCTGGAGCAGTCAAAGCATGAGGGTCTGGATGCCATCGAGAACGCAGTAGAAAACTTGGATGCCACCAGTGACAAGCAGCGCCTCATGGAAATGTACAACAACGTCTTCTGCCCTCCAATGAAGTTTGAGTTCCAGCCCCACATGGGGGACATGGTGAGGCCCTGTTCATTCTCTTGCTCCCCCAAATGAACATGAATTCTCTTGTGTATAGCTTCCCTACACAGAGGCCACATTCTTCCGGGGGGAGGCCTTCCTGTTGGATGGGGAAGCACATTTCTCTCATTCAGCAAACAGCCTCTGGCAGCCTACTGGCTATGGATGCTGGGAATTGGAGCCCTCAGGAAGCTTACAGTCTGATGAGTGAGGTAGCTGAGGTTGGAAAAGAAAGGAAGGCGCAGGGAGGATCAGCCAAAAGGAACAGCTGGTGTGTCTAAAAACTACTCACTGCTCAGGATGGTGGAAGGAAAGGAGGGGAACGGTTGCTTGCAGTGGTAAGGCTGGAAGAAGGGAGAGTTGAAGTGGGGCCAGGCCCAGAGGCTGGGGGTAGGGGAGCTAAACAGAGGAGTGATGTCATCGGTTAGCATTTGGCAGAGTTTAGAAGGACCTCTTCTCCTGGTTTTAGATGAAAGAGCTAATTTAGCTTAGGTATTGGACAGACCAGAATTGTTACCTTCTGCAAGGGCAGGAGCTAAGATGCCATCCCCCAGGAGGCATCGTGCTGGTTGCTCAGACAGGGAGCGTGAACTTGAGGGCTCTGTTATGGATTCTTCATCCTGACAACTGAAACAAGAAAGCCCTGCACGAACTGAGCTCAGAGGAAGGAGAAGCTCCATGCTTCCTTTTACTCTAAATATTTTGATTCCACTTCAAATGGTTGTGCATCCAAATCAGAGTAAGCCTTGCTCCTGTAGCTACCATTTCACCTATCAAGTTAGAAGGGACAGGTGAGTGTGTGTGTGTATGTGTGTGTGTGTGCGCGTGTGTGCATGCATGCGCAAGCTTACATGACAGAAAAGATCAAAATAGACCGTCAGATATAGTTGGAATTGAAGCAGGAACTTGAAGCAGGGCGACTGTATTTCCAGCCTTGCCTCCCTCTCAGTTGAATCCAGTGGAAAGAGTATCTGGCTCTCTCTTCAGAACCCGTGGGAAGGACTTACTGTGTTTCACTGGTTTTGTTTGGGTGATACTTGTTTGAGTGACGTTTGGCTCTGAGCTGGTCACTGTGGATATGAACTGGCTCACTGGGTTATGCCAGGGTCACAGGTCTGTCCAAAGCACGTGACCTGAGAAGGGCTGTGGGGTCCCTCCCAAAGGACTGTCAGACCATAGTTAGCAAAGGAAGCTGGATGTGAGACAACCACACAGCAGCAAAGGAAGAGCGCTTCCCTAGGATTCGCATCCAGACACGTTAGAAAGCGCTGCTCTGGAATGACACCTGTAGCCATGTAAGCTGAAGATTTGCTGTCATCAGGAGGCCCCTGTGGAGAGTGGGGCATTTCTTTCCTAAAGATAAAAACATGGGGATAACTTCTTTCCTTTCCTTCCCGGGGAAAACCAAACAGTTGCAGTGTGTTTCCATTGCTGTGGCTTAGGAGATTTCTGCATCTGAACAGATGGGGAGGTGAGATGACAGTTACAGTTGGGATAGGAGTATCACCAACCCCCAGGAAGCCCCATTCCTCACCTGCTCTGGCTCCTGGTCAAACTTGCCTTCCAAGCCCCTTCTCCAGCTGCCACTGGGATTCCCTCCCAAGAATCAGTGGAACTTGTGGGTGAGCTGAGTGGAGCGATACATCTTCTGGTGTTGACTGAGTTGCCTTCTGAACCAAACAGCTTGCCTCCATAAAGGGGAAATCCAGATGCTGGGCACTCAGGCCCCCTCCCAGCCCTGTCAGAGCCACATTTCCATGCTTCAGAGCACAGCTGGAACGCATTACCTTGCACGCTGGTACAGGATCCCTGCCAAAGCATGCATCAGCAGCGCTGATGCTGCTTAAAGGAACAGGCCTGGTGGTGGTTTTCCCTCCATTGTTCCTCCCTGCTAGATCTGGGTTCCTTTAAACATCAATAGCTCATTCTTCTGCCTGGGTGTTGTCGTCCTCGTTGTCGTCGTCGTCGTCATTGTCCTAGAGCTGATCAGTATGTGAGCCTGGCAGAGGGTCCCCATTCTCACCTCGCCTTTGTAAAAGTGGAAAATAAAAGATAAGAGAGCAGCTCATCTGATTTATCCTCATTGATACGGGTTTTCGGTCAACTTGGAGCAGCAGAAGGGAGCTGCCTGGGAGTGCTTGAACTAGGGTCAAACTTGGGGTGACATTCTGACTTAAAGCCCTGGAATTGCTGAGGCCCCACACTGACCGATTCTGGGGCCCTCATCACATGACCTAATGCCAAGCACCCTACAATGTACGAGGAGCTGGTGCCTGGCTTCATTCTTGGTGCCCCCCAGGCAGCTTGTGGGGCTTGGGATGCCTGACTGGTGACATCAGGCAGCAGAGAGTTGCACTCTTGGCACTAACCCACTCTGGCCACCGAGAGCTTTCTCCATTGTGTCTCCTTATCCAAGAGCCAGAATGAAGTTCAGCTCCCTTCACATCTGAGAGCTGGCTTGAACCAGCCTCTCGGTCAGGGAAGAGGCCAGACCAGTTGGGAACTTACAAACCAGTGGGGAAAAAGATCAAGTCCAAGCTCCTCCACTCGAAGAGAAGTTCTGTCTTTCAAGCAAGAAAATAGTCTGTGAGCATGTGAATGAGCCCACTCCTTGTTTAGGGAAAGAGTCTCTTCCAACAAGTGCTAAAAGAACTATAGTTGCAAGGTGGTAGAAGCTGCCTCCATGTGAGTCCTGCTTCCCAACTCTCCTAGCCTGCTCTTCATCAATCCTGGAAACAGTGGGCGACCTCAGCCCCTAGCTCTACCCTATCAGGAGCCTGTAGATGAGCTGTCTCTTCACGGAGGGGAAAGCCATTTGGCAGCAATGTGAGGAGGAAGGCAGGTTGCAAAGGATCTTCTCCCACACACACCTCATGGAGGCCAGGGGTAAAGTGATAGCTCTTTGGGAATGCCAAGCTATGCCAGATTCCATGCCCTCTGGAGGCCACTAGCATGAATGAATGATCTCGTTCCAGCTTCATGTTCTCTCTCATTGAGTCGGAGTTCTTACGTATGGCCTGGATTTGTAAACATATGCTGGCAGCCAGCAGCAGCAAGTTAGCCTCCTGACCCACTTCTCTCCTGCTTGCACTCTGGTGTACAGTGGGAGGAGGAAAGGGCTGGAGAGGTGGCCGCTTGGCACTCTGGCAGGAAATCCTCACTGTGCCAAGGCATTGTGTTTCCGGAGCTGCAGTGCCCGAGGTGCTGTCTTCCAGCCTCTCCAGCTTTCTGAGCAGACCTGCCCCTGCCAGCCACCAGCCTGAAGATGGGCTCCGGAGAGAGAAACCTGGTCTTTGCAAACAGATCCTCCTCCGTACTTCTTTTATGTGCTGTTCAGTCCACATGTTTGCTTTGGATTTTGTTTCCTTTGCAAGTGTTGTACACTGCGTATGAGTAGTTTTATTAGCAGTGAGGAGAACTCTGGAATCACCAGAAAAGTTGACCTGGAGTTTCTGTCTTCTGGCAGGCTTCCCAGCTCTGTGCCCAGCAACCTGTCCAGAGCGAGCTGGTGCAGAGATGCCAACAACTCCAGTCCCGCTTATCCACTCTGAAGATTGAGAATGAAGAGGTGAGTGTCCCGCCCAGGATGCCCAGAGCTACCCTTGGAGGTTCCCCGTGGACCTCCTTGCTTCTGCTCATGTGGCAGCAGGTGGAAGGAGCATGCAGAGAATGTCCGGGCTGCTGCACACGCTTCCTAGCCAAGTGTCGGCTCGGACTTTCCCCGCTACATCCTGCCCTTGAACTGCAGGAAGTGATCTTGTGTTGCCAAAGGTTGTGTTCTATTTTGAGCTTTTGCAAAATGCTTTTTTTCCTCTCTACACATTTAATCAAAATGGCACTTGGCAGCTGTGTGCACAGCATTGTGTCTGAAACTAGCCTTATGCCTGGCTTTTTCCAGCATTTTCAAACAAATACAGGCCATTGACTCTGACACTTCAAGCATCTCCATCCTCTAAGGAAAGGGTGATCTCCTTCTGGGTCCAGTACATTTTTCTCTCAACAACCAGTTCGGATGGACAACTTGACTGACGATCCCACTTTCTGTTGAGCTCAGATGGCTTCTTTCCTTGTGTCTCAGTCCTACTGTTCTTAGGACAGCAGGAAGGACTAGGGATGGACCAGTTTGTTTCCCAGTAGTTAAACAAATTTGCTGTTTTATTGAAGGTCATGAAACAGAATCTGGAGGGTGTTTTTTTTTTTGTTTTGTTTTGTTTTGTTTTGTTTTGTTTTGTTTTGTTTTCAGGATTGAGAATTATATACCCATATGTGCTAGACAAGTGCTCTACCACTAGACATCCCCAGATCTTATTTATTTTCTTTTTGAGACAGGGTCTTGTTAAGTTGTCCAGGGCACCTTTGAACTTCTGATCCTCTGCAGCCTCCTGAGTAGCTAGGATTGTACAGGCCTGCACCACCCTGCCTGGCCCATCACACCTTTTAACTGGCTCTTTGTACATCTGGGTTGATTTGAAATTGTTTTATTCAGATTTCCTTAGCACTTCCATTATAATGAAGAACTAATACTAAATTTTAATAGTAAACAGCAAGTAAAAGACCTTGCTGAGTAAAAGTACGTAGTCTGAAGAGGTGATGGATCTTAGATCCTCGCTAGAGGAATTGTGTCCTGTAGCAAATCCGTGTGAGTGGTAGCCCTCATCTAGCACTGCCTGGGGGAGGCAGAGCTAAACCCTCTGATGATGCCTTCCCTCCTCATCCAACACTCTCTCCTACTCCCCCACTCTTCCGGCCACTTACTATTTTGTAGCATGCATTAGGTTGTCCAACATGCATTAGGTTTGCTCTTGTGGTTGTAGGTAAAGAAGACAATGGAGGCTACCCTACAGACCATCCAGGACATTGTGACTGTTGAAGATTTTGATGTGTCTGACTGCTTCCAGTATAGCAATTCCATGGAATCTGTCAAGTCGACTGTCTCAGAAACTTTCATGAGCAAGCCCAGCATTGCCAAGAGGAGAGCCAACCAGCAAGAGACAGAGCAGTTTTACTTCACGGTAAGGGGCCCAGTGGCCTTCAAAGAACATCAGCAGGCACTCTGGTCTCTAAGGGAGATTTGGAACTCAGAATCTTTGTCAAATGTCTCAAAGGATTGAATATCCTAGATTTGAATCTGAGCATACTTGGAGCCTGTCTGTATACTTAGATGTGCAAGTCCTGTGTGTCTAATAGGTACTCCCTAGGGGTTGCTCCCAAGTATACTACTAAGAAGTTTTTCTTTTGAAAGGAATTTTGAAGCAGCTACTAGGCTTTCATTTGAAAGCCTCTTTCTCAGCTATTGGGCATCATGAGAGGGGACATCATTACTTGGTTCTTGGGAATGACATCAAAATTTCTTGCTTAACACATATCTTGTTTTGAAAAGTTATGTCTCTTTTAGATAATCTGATGACATTGTTTTATAACTTTCATTTTAGTAAAAAAACTTTCAATAATTATTCCCGGGACTGAGGAGATAGCTCAGTAGAATAAGTGCTTGCCTGGTAAGCACAGGGTCCTGAGTTCAATCCCTGGTACCACAAAATAATAATAATAATAATAATTATTATTATTATTATTATTATTCCTAAAACTTAAAGGGACCCATAATGTACAATGTTGTTGTTTTAGAGAATTCCAAAGCATATTTTGTTATTCATGTATCTCCAGTCTCCTTTTAAACAACTGGGCCCATTTTTTAAAAAGTAATACTAATAGTCCTTTGGAAGGTTGTTAGCTGGTCTTGGTGCTGCTTTTTAATAATTAAGTTATTTTGATCTTGCCAAGTAGGATTTATTGCCTGGAGTAAAATTTATTTCCTAATCTTCAGATGACCAAGAAAGGAAAAATTAAGTTTGCAGATGTGAGATGAAATACAGCCAGTGAACATACATACTGATTCTGAATGAAATGAATTAACTTGTTTTTCAGTCAAGAAGCACAGTCTGCATGCAGTAAATTGAATTTTTCTTCCAACTGCAGCAATTTGTTTAATTCTTTGAGCATTATCATTTGTGCACTAAGAACACTAATAATTTGCTAATTTTCTCTTTAATCTGTATTTTTATTAGTAAAGAACTCTTCAGCGTTCTTTTTTTACTTTTTTTTTGGGGGGGGGGGAACCGGGGATTGACCTCAGGCCCTTTCGCTTATCAGGGAAGCGCTTATTCCACTGAGCCATCTCCCTGGCCCAGCGTTCTTTTTTTAAATCCTGGAGAAGACTGTTGAAAAAGTGATTCAAGAGTATTATCTTCTAAAACACTTCAAAAAAAGTTGTCATACAAGACAGTTGGGTTCAGTGCTGGATGTGGTGGTACACACCTTTAATCCCAGTACTTGGGAAGCTGAGGCAGGAGGATTGCCTCAAGTTTGAGGCCAGTTTAGGCTGCATAGTAAGTTCCAGGCCAACCTGGAGGAGGAGGAGGAGGAGGAGGAGGGGAAGGAGGAAGAAGAGGAGGAAGGGGAGGGGGAGGAAGGGGAAGAGGAGGAGGAGGAGGAGAATGCTCTTGACGTAAAACTTAGAAGTAAAAAGAAAAAAAAAGTCATCATCCTACCACCTGGAGATATTAGGGGTATTAGGGAATATTCCCTTTCTGTGCATATACAAATACAAATATATATTTGTAATTTTATTACCAAAAGGTAGTACATTGTTATACCTGTTGTATATAATAATGTAAGTCATTTAATTATATTTTTAAAGCAAATACATGAGTAGAATACTAAAATCCATAAAGAAATAATGGAATGACATTTTAGCATATTCATTTTTGTAAAAATGTTCAATATATTATGTGGTTCACCATTTTCATAAATGCTGGAAATGAGGGAGGCACTGTTATACACCTGTAATTCAGCTACTCAAGGGGTTGCGACAGAAGGATCATAAATTGAAGGCCAGCCTGTCAGTCAACTTAGCAAGACTTTGTCTGGAAATAAAAAATTTTAAAGGGGTAAGGGGTGCTGGGATGCAGCTCAGAGTTAGTACACTTACCCAGGGTTCAACCCTTAGTGCCACAGCCAGTCAGTCAGTTCATCAGTTGGTAAACACATACTGAAATTTTACTTTCACTGTTACCGTTTTTACACCTAGTATTAGTGTATGTTTGTGATAGCTAATCATTACACTCTTCTTGGAGAATTGGTGCGTACCCGTATCGCGTCTTCTAGTTCTCTTTCCCCACTGCCCCCTTGCCCTCCTTTCTTGGGTTCCTTTCCCACCTGCACAGATTATACCTCTCTATTTCCTGTCATTTCCTTTTTGTTTTGCTCCTAAATTATTCATATCTTGGCTTTCACCTATTAGAGAAGCCATGTGATATTTAACCTGTGATTTATTAGCCTGATAATTGCAAGATCTATTCATTTTCCTGCAGATGCCTCAAATGTGTCCTTCTTTATGCTGAATACCACCCTCATCACTATTCATTAATCATTACTAAGTTATTCTTTGATACTTATTGTGGACTTACTGTCTCCCAGACACTGTGTTACGAACTACAAGTGCTGAGATTAAAAACTGAAGAATGAATTATGAGGCTGGGTATATAGAGGAAGAGCTTTCATTTTTATTTACTTATTTCTAAGCAGTAATAATAGATTGATTTTTATAATAAATATAAAACAATTTTAATGCATGCATACACATGTGCATGAGTGGCACTGGGAAGCAGCACACACAAGTGATTGTGCACTTGATCTTGAAGGATGAGCCAGCTGGGCAGAGGGCTAAGGACAGTGTTGTTGCTTGAGGAAGGGGTGGTGCGCTGAGGCGCGGGAAGGTATGCAAACCTGACTGGTCTTGGCTATCATGAGGACTTCTGCCCCACCTTCAAAGAGCTTGCTGGATACTCTCTAGGCTTCTGATAATAAGACTGGCTAAGTCTGTCTGGGCTGCTTAGGTATAAATGACCCAATCTTATTACGTTGCAGATTTCCATTTTTAAGTTAAGTAAGGCATTTTGGACAGAAAACTGTACTTCAGAAGGTCTCTGTCAGAATTACCTTTGGCTTAAGTGAATCTGTAACTCAATTTTCAGCATTGACCTTTAACAGACACAGGAATGACCCTATTCAAGCATGTGACCTCTGAAGTCCTGGCTGTCCTTTCACTTTCTATCTGAACATGCTGATGTCCTCTAACCCATTTCCTGTCTTTTGTGGCTATAGTGCTACTTATCAAAATTGTGTGCAGATTTCCTTAGCTAACAGGAATGTTTTTTTGTCTGGGCTTGTCCTGTAAAAGATTTACAAAGAACTCATCATTTTTCACGAATGGTGCCTGAAGTGAATGAGCTAATAATTCATTTTATGATAAAAGGGCTTGCTTTGGAGAGTGAAATGGACATTTAAGGAAGAGGTCCCCATGTTAAACTGAAGGGCTACCCGCATGGCTTGTCAAACCATGCATAGCCCTCTGTTGCTTCTACAGATGTTGCCCACTTTATTTCTCTTCTCTCTTCAAAAACATCAGAGTAACACATCCTAGAACAGTGGCAGTGACACATGGCACTCGTGTCACAGTAAGCTGTTTGAATTATTGAAAGCTCTAAAAGGTTTGCCATCATAGCCCTTAGAGGTTCCTTTCATTTGGAAAGTTTGGGAAAGGCTCCTTACCATGACTTAATTCCTCATTCTGATGCCTAATGACCAAAAGGACTGGTGGGACAGTTTTTCTGATCACTCATGGCTGCATCAGATTAATCTGCCCAGGTAATGTCATTAGAAATTTGAAGCATGGCTTCTATAGGTCGGTTGTTTTGGAAGTCTCGAGGAAATAATGGTGGGATTTTAAAGCTAATGGCACATGCCTGTAATCTCAGCACTTAGGAGCTGAGGTAGGAAGGTCACACACTGGGGACCAGCCTGAGCCACATTACTAGCTCAAGGCCAGCCTGGTCTGTGAAGCCCTGTCCAAAAAACACACGAAAACTAACCCAACCTTCACATTTGAAAGGTTAAGAATAAAACATATTGAAAAAGGATGGGTAGGTTGGCCAAGGTGTTCAGCAACACCTGAACACTAAAGCGAGAACTCTGGAGACCTGCTCTCGGCTGCAGGCATTCCTTTGGAGGGGTGTCCCATCTTTGGGCTTGCCTAACCCACTTGGAGTGAAGAGGGGTTGTCTGGGGCCTCAGGTTAAACATTCCTGCCAGGAGAGCTCAAGGTCAAGACTCAAGAACAGCTCAGCACCTTTCCCTCTCATTTGCCGGGAGTCATCTGCTCAGTTTCCTGCTTGTCATTCATCTTCTACAGCACACAGTTTAGCAATATCTACTTTTTTTTTTTTTTTGCCTTTTCTGTTGTGCTTGTTAAAAATAGTCTTTATAAAAGGTTGCAAAGCAAAAGGACATTCAGGAAAAAGTCAAGCATTGTCCCTGACCCCACTTCTCCTTCTGCCTGACACAAAACTGGTTTATGTTGTGTCCTTCCAGAGACATTGTATGCGCAGGGAACCACAGATGTATCAGTAAGTTCCCTTTAATAGGCAAAATTACATTAGAAATGGAAAGAAATAGGACAAATGGAAGCATGCCCCTCATACTGTTCCTCACCTTCCTTTTTCACTTAATTTGTTTAGAAATGATCTTCATAGCTCAAAAGATCTCCCTCAGAATTCCTTTGTATGGAGGAATCACTCTAATCAATTCCGTTCTTTGGGCAGTAGTGCTCATTGTTCAGCCAAGAATTAGCAGAGCTTTGACAGATGGGCGTTTTTCCTAGTATTTCCTGTATATAGAGCATTGGAGTGTGGGATTCTTACCTGGGGTACATATGGGGAGGTTGTTCAGGGTTATAACTGGTAAAATAAGAAGCCAGACTGCCTCTGTTCCTAGGAACAGGTTTGGGTAAGGTAAGGGGACAGGAGACAGTGCCTTGGCCACTGTGGCAGGCATGCTGGGTATTGGACTTGCAATTTGTAGTCTGAGACTTTTCTTCATTTTAATATCCTACGGGCCTTGGTAAATGTGTGCTAAGCAGGTACAAATGAGTGAATGTCCCTGCCCTGCCCATTAAACTGGGGAGATGCGCTCCATTTAAGGTTTACTCTGTTATGTATTCTAGCAGCTGTTTCCTGCTTGAGAAATTGACAGGGAGGAGGGGAAGTGTCAAGCGTGCCTGGATGGCGGAGGAGCTGCACGGTAATGACATCTGTGTCTCTGTGCTCCAGGGGCTGAGGAGGCCTCACCACTCCTCCCACCCCATCCCCTTGTGCAGGCTTCAGTTCACATAGACTTAAGTACAGTGTGTAAGCAAAGTCCTGAATCCCTGACCCCATGGCAAGCACAGACTTCAAGGGAAGAGACTGTCTAACATGAAATTTGGAAGGGTTGTGCCTCTTACATTTTGTTTGTTGGTTGGTTTTTTAAGGCCTGGATCCTTCGGCTTTGATTTAACTTGCTTATGTATTAGTACAAAGCAAAGTTTAGGGAAGGAATGTTTTTAGGGTGACAGCAGGCAGGCAGGCAGTTGGTTCAAGTGTAAGAAACACTTTCTCAGTAGCTGCTGTGTGCCAGCCTCAGAGCGGACAGTCATATTCTTAGCCTTGTGACCTTTCAATAACCTTGTGACTTTTTCTGTTGGAAAAGTCAAGACTCCAATAGGTTAAGTGATTTACCCAAGGTTAGAAGAGTTAGTAAGTGGTAGGACTAGAATATTCCAACTTGAGCGTTTTCATTTTACTGCAACAAAAATATCAGTCAGTGACAGAGGGCTAAGAAAGAAAAATTATGATGTTGATGCTTTTTAATAAATGCACCTCATTGCTGACAGTCCCCATTAGGAGTTATTAAGGAATAGATGAATGAGACCATAAAAATAGAATTCAAGTTTCACAATGTGAAGAAAAGTCAAATAGCTAATAAATAATTTGCTTGCTTCCCTTCCTAATTTTCATAAAAAATGTTCAGTTTTGATAATACTGATTGTAAAGGCTGAAGCAGGAGGTACTGGTGCATTTTAGGAACTTGCCAAGGAAGAGATTTTTGAGGCACAAACCGTTCCTGTCGTGGCCCCCTGCGCTCTAGAAGTGATCAAAGGGCTACCTATTGCTCCCTTCCGTCAGCTTCCCCGGGAGTCTGTCCAGCAGCAGTGGAGCCTAACTCAGTCTGCTGATCAAGGCAAGGTTATTTATACCCAGCTTCTCCCCACAGATGAGTGCCAGCTCTGGGTGGGAGGTGATCAGTGATGGGTGGCACTCCACGTATCCACCCACCTTACCCAGGTGGAAAAGCCCAGCCATTGTTCGCACAGTGTATTAGGGATGCAGGTCATATCCTGACACAGTGTTGATCCTTCAGGATTTAATGGAACCCGAAAGGGTAATCCATCATAGCTCTTTATCAGATTATTATTTATTTTAATGGTTCGCGGAATGACAGCCAGAGTTAACTAGTGAGCAGTGAACGTGAATGGAAAAATGGTTTCTGGAGTCACAAGTAGAAACACGAGTAAGAGGGAAAAAGATGCATCTATCTCCTTTCAGATTTTAGGCTGAAAATCTGTGTATCTGTGTTTGGAGAGTTACAGCTTTTTGATGAATTTTCCTCATTAGAAAACCCTTGAGTCTCCTGGAATAACCTTCAGAAGCGGGGCCTTTGAAGACTGTGCTCTTAGGGATGGGTGTTTCTTAAAGGCTTTTCACCCCACTCAGCCTCGAAGTACTATTATAAGCTCACAATTAGGCATTGGATGAGGATTAGGATGTTACCTGGGGAAGACTGACAGCAGGTAAGCTGGCAGCTGGAGCAGATGGGAAGGGGAAGGGGACACAACAGGAGAGCCTATTTTCCTGCGGAGATGTTCTCATGTAGAAGCACAAAGGAGCAGAGGGAAGAAGTCCCGGGTGGGGCAGCAGAAATGAATGAGTATGAGGTTTGTATCTGGTCTGTTTCATATTTAATTTAGAACAAAGATACTGGGGGCTTGGTTTATAACTGCTAGTGGTAGTTCTGTACACAGGGGAGTGAGACTGCTGTTTATTTCTTCATCCTTCATGCATTTATTGGGTATCTACTATCTATTGGATCCAGTATCATGCTTTCCATCCTGAGCATAACAAATAGCATAGTTTTTGTCCTCAGGGAAGAGACAGTCTGGAGAAAAATACACACCAGCAGTAAAAGTAAACCCTCTGGATAAGATAGTATGGGGAGTGAACCATGCATGAGGGCGTGGAGGGCCAGGCACTGCATCTCAAAGAATGCAGCTTTGTCTCTCTCTCTCTCTCGCTCTCTCGCTCTCTCGCTCTCTCGCTCTCTCTCTCCCTCCCTCTCTCAAATGGAGTAGTTGCACAAGCTCTTAGTTAAAAGTTCAGACTGAAATTAACTCAAAATAGATTTACCTTTTCTGTCAGTCTTAACCCTATATGGTAATAGCCTTGATATCAAAGCCTGGATCTGTTAAAAGATGGAGCTGTCATAATCTTAAGTGTTTTATTCTCTTATCACCTGAAGGATCCCCTGACTGTCCAGGGCTTAGGAAGTCGCACTCGGGGGAATACTGCCATTTGACTTTCCACATTTAGCACGAGCAGTTGACTGAGGCCTGGCAGATGAACAGCACACCAGGAGAAACTGAGGCAGATGCAGCGTGGTTCCCTGAATGGCTGTGGGACGAGTGGAGAAGACATGGTGTTAAGGGCCCGAAAGCCTAGAGCACTACCGCTTTCTAGCTTGCAACATTTGGCAGTTTGACATCCTCTTTCTGAAAGCATCTCTTCATTTCTGAAAAGGAAATAGTGTCTACCTAGGTACTGTACAGCATCAAATGACAGAATCTGTGCTAAAGTACTCTAAAATATGCTAAGTCACTACGCATATAGAAAGAATTAAATGCTGTGAGATTTAGTTCTGCATCTCTCTTGTTCTGTACTATAGTGGAGAGAATATTTTATGTGTAACATTGTGAATAGAACATTTTATTTGTAATGCTGAAGAGGAGGCCAGGGAGATAGCTCAGCAGCATAAGTGCCTGCCTGGCAAGCTCAAGGTCCCGAGTTTGATTCCCAGTGCCACAAAATAAATAAATAAATAAATAAATATAATGCTGAAGAGCACATCTTATACTACTCTATTTGACTACATTGACTCTCCTGCTCACTGTGACTTTGAGCAACATACTTAACCTTGTCAAACCTCAATATACTAGTCTGTAAAATGGATACATTGTTAATAGGAGTTCATAGGGTTTTTATGAAAAGTTGCTAAATTGTCATGTGTAATAGTCTCTTGCCAGGCAGGCAAGGGCTGAGGTCAGAGATCAGATCTGAACATACAGCACAGCAATCGTATTTGGGCTGTTAGAGCAGGTGGCATTACATTTCCAAAACCTCATCTGGAGCTGTGTGTGTATGTGCAAGCGGGGGAGGGCAGCTACTCCCGCTGAGCGCTCTCAAGTTCCTAGCTTTCCATAAACTCTATGGAGGGCCAGGGAGATAGCTTGGCCATCTAAGTGCCTGCCTGGCAAGTGCAAGGACCGGGATTTGATCCCTGGTACCACATGCTGTGCCAGCCCCACGCTAAGCCAGCCTCTGAAACCCGGCATGGTAGCACACACCTGTAATCCCAGCGCTGGGGAGGCTGAGACAGGAGTATCACTATGAGTCTGAGCTGCATAGTGAGACCCCGTACCAAATAAATAAATAAATAAATAAATAAATAAATAAATAAATGGTTTATTTAAAAAAAAACAAAAAAACAAAAAAAACCTCCATGTAGCTTAAAGAAAGTGGCTGATTAGGGTATGGCTCAGACATATGCCAGGCTTGCAGCTGAGGCAGGGCTGAGCTGGCTGCCACCACTGCTTCTGAGGTGAGGGAAATGGCCTGGAAGGGGTAGCGCAGGTAGGAGATCAGCGGCAGCACCCAACAGCAGTGGCCTCTTCACCCCAAGGATGCTGCACTGAGGGCGGGGCGTCTGATAGGAGGCAGGGGTTTTTTATTGTTTTAGTTTAGTTTTGTTTGTCCTGGCTGATGCTTCTAGGGAAACGTATTGTGGGACAGTTGTCTGCTGTGAGAATCAGCAGCTGTCCACGTACTCAGGAACCCAAAGAAAGAAAAAATCGGACCCAGAAGTTGGGTCAGAAGCCAGATGACCTCTCAAAAAGGAATTGTCCAGCCAAGTATCTTGATTTTTCTTTCTTCACCAGTCTGATTGTCCTTTCTTCTTTTCCCTTACAGAAAATGAAGGAGTACCTGGAGGGCAGGAACCTCATAACCAAGTTGCAAGCCAAGCATGACCTTTTGCAGAAAACCCTGGGAGAAAGTGAGTGTGCAAAGACCTCGCAGGAGGCTGGCAGTGAGGGGTGGCCCCACCAACCTTGCTGAGCACAAGCCTCCTTTCTTGGCCCAATGGATCTGATCTGGTTCTGCGAAAGGTTTTCTTTTCGTAGCCTGTTTCACATGAAAGCACATGCCCCAGAGGACTGCTTGAGCTATGGGGAAAGGGCATTGCTTAATGAACCACTAATGTGCATCCTCTGTTCATTTAAATGGAGCATGCTGCCACTCCCCCCAGCCCCTCCTTCCCCTCCCTGCCTCCACGGCGCCAAGGGGCTGCAAGGGTCTCCCCTCTCCAGACTCCTTGTTAAGAGTCTCAGCTGGAGGTTGGAGTGAGAAGGAAGGGACCTTGAGGTACGCAGCTGCTCAGAGAAGGGAGAGGGTCCTGGTCCTCAAATGCAGTAGTGGTGGACAGACTGCTGCTGACCACAGATTCTAGGCAGGCTTCTATTTCCTCCTGCTTGGAAAGGTCTGCCTTCCTTCCAAGTGGCAGCCTCCTCTGCTGTGGCCCTCCTGAGGCCACAGGGCTGAATGGACTGGCTCATCTCAGACGATGATCCTAACCAGACCCTGGGAAGTAGCAAGACAGAGAACTGGATGGCACTCGACTTTCTCTCTTCAGCCCTCAAACCGGAGGTGGAGGTTGAAAGAGAAGCCTCCTTGGGGCTGTTTGGCACCTTGCCCAGGTCTCCTGCCCAGCCCTTAGCATCCTGTGATTAATGGGATTCCCAGGTTGGGGATGCCTATGAACTCCCTGCCTCTCTTCCCTTCCCTCTGCTGTCTTCAGTTAAAGATGGGAGAGTGGTGAAGGGAGAGGCTGCAAAAGGACCATGACAGTGACAGGCAGGCCTGCATGGACATAGAGTTCTAGCATTTTAAGATTATTCTTTAGCACTCGTCAGATGAACTGCAGAATGCAGAAAACTGTGCAAGAGTCAATGGCTTAGTGGCCCAGGAATTGGAGCCTGTTTTCTCATGCCAGAACGTCTTGCCTGCCCTCCTTGCCATCCTTCTGCCCTGGACAGTTCCTTCAGATGATCAGTTCTTCTTTAGTATCATATTTCTGAGACTTTTTTTTTCCCCCTGAGAAAAATTTTTTTCTTTTTTTCCATAATTTTATTGAGAAACAAATAGCAGTGAGACAGTTTCAAACCAAATTGGTCTGAGACTTTTCTTTTAAAGTGAAGAAAACCTTCTAGGTAACTTCTGCTCTTTTTCCTCTCCATCACCTGAGGGGCTCAGACTAATCAGGTCCAGGCATTGAAGAGGCAAGTAGTGCTTATAGGAAATCTTTACTCTGGAGGTTATCAGATTGTTCCACAAAGAGCTGAAGAGAGAAAGCCCAGCCCCGAGGCGGCTTCTCTTTCAACCTTTGCCTCCTGTTTGAAGCAAGTTGTAACTGTGATTTTTGTGGTTATTTTGTTTTGATTGATTGATTGATTGATTGATTGATTGATTTTGGAAAAGGGGGTCAGACAGTCTAAGCATAGCCCATAAGTAAATAGGGAGCAGGGCCTCTGGGGAGGGGTGTGCATATGTATGTGTGAATGGGTTTGCTCGCACATGTGTGTGCACCAAATGTGCTACTCCAGAGGGATGAAGGTTGACCATTCATTAGTGCTGCAAATTGCCTTAATCAAAAGATGACAAGTTCTAGCAATAAAAGAAAAAAATAGCTATAAATCTTCCTGTGTGCTAGGCGTCATGTCCCTGCCTTCTGTGTACATTTGTCACCATAATGCAAGAGACCCTTGTTCTTGCCACAGAGGGATAATTGATGTGTATGAATATTCTAGAATGGAAATGGGACAGATGTTGAAAATAATGGCTCAGAATAATATTTTTGCAGATGAATGCTGAGCTTTTCATAAGGAAAGGCTGTTAGGGTGGGGGATGGTGCTGCTTGGGATAAGCTGAACTATAATCAACAATTAGCAAGCTTTAAAGGCAAGGAAAAGCCCTGCCCTCTCCCAGCCCTTGGAGTTGAAGCTTGAGAGAAAAATGAGCTGTTTGCTCTGCTGCAGCTCAGGGCCTACCACAGTTTACCCTGGTTTATCTAACACAGGTCTGTGCTTGCTTTGGCAGCATGTACACTAAAATGTGTCTGACACAGGTCTAATCGGGATCATGCTTCATGGACCCACAGAAAACAACATGTTACATCATGGCCCATGGATACATATATCTGCATTTAAAAAACAAAACAAAACAAACAAAAAAAAAATGCTAAGAGCTGGACATGGTGGCACACGCCTGTAACACCAGCACCTGGGAGGCTGAGGCAGGAGGATCATTGTGAGTTCAAGGCTAGCCTGGGCTACAAAGTGAGTTCAAGGCCATTCTGAACTGCATGGTGAGACCCTGTCTCAGAAAAACAAAGTAAATAAATTAAATAAATAAAAGAGCCAGGGAGAGAGTTCAGCGACATAAGTACCTGCCTAGTAAGTACAAGATCATGAGTTCGATCCCCAGTACGTCACCAAAAAAAATAAAAAATAAAAAAACTTCTTATAAATTTGAGCTGTTCAATTTCACATTTTAAAGCAGGCTATGAGGGCCAGGGAGATGGCTCAGCAGTCTAAGCGCCTGCCTGACAAGCGCAAGGATTTGGGTTCAATTCCTGGTACCACATGCCTTTAATCCCAGTGCTGGGAAGGCTGAGACAAGAGGATCACTACAAGTCTGAGCTGCCTAGCGAGACCCTGTACCAAATCAGTCAATAAATCTTTTAAAAAATAAAGCAAGCTATGAACCATTGAGAACCATGATTTGGTAGCAGTACTAGTATTGAAGCTTACCTTTCCCTTGCCACCCCTAGCAAGATAACTTAGTATAAATCTAAAACTAGAATATGCATACCTTCTCATCCTTTCTCCAAGCAACTCCTTTTCCTTCTTCCTGGCCTAGCCCCACCCATGTGTGAGTGTATGTTCATTCATATTCTTAGGATGAGCAAGCCTCTCCCAGCCCTTCCTACCACTACACATAGGCCCTGCATACATATTAGGAGCTGGTGTTCCTTCCTCTCTAGGAAGATTTCTAGTAATTTGTTAAAGTAGGATCTGCTATATTCCCCTACATCCATGGCTGCTTCCCACCCGAAAGCAGCGGTGGCAAGTATAAGGTTTGAAGATACCAGCAGTCATGGCCTGGGAACCAGCAAACAACAGATGGCTTTGGTCACTTGTGTCCTTTTCTGGCCAGTGGCTCCCTATATGAATGGTCAGGGCTTGGAAATTCCTGGAAGTAGGCTCCCCTCTTTACTTATTTGGCTTCTACATATGCTTTTTACCTTTATCTTTGCAGGTCAGCGGACAGATTGCAGTCTGGCCAGGTAAGTATGGTTTGGGAAAGTCTCAGGAAGGGATAAAGAGAGACCTACCCGGTCTAGTGACTCCAGTGTGGGAAAGAGCCAAAGAGTTGAGTTGTAAAGACAACTAAGTGACTTTGCAAAGGAGTGGCTTAAGCAGAAGTTGCTTCCTTCCATTGTCCTTGCTAAGCCCGTCTGGTTCTAAATGGTAATGGAGTTTGCTAGAGACTCTCAAAAGCCCCTACATAACAAGGAAAAGAAACATTTGTCTCAGAAGGGATCCTAATAACCTAACCTTAACTTCAACATGTAGACGTTGGGAATTCACCGACCCATAAAAAACAAAGATGAAAAGATAGCATTTGATCTGAGATGTTTTTATTCATGGAAAAGACAACTTTCTAATTAGTATTGTCAGACAGTGCAGTTGTACATTGACTGGCTTGCCAAATAGCCTTGGTAGAGTCCTTTCCTGGTACATGAGTATACAGCTCTCAGAGTCCCCACCCAGTCCTTTTTCCTACCTTCCTCTCTCTCTCCCACCCATCTACTTTCCCTCCCAGTCACAGTGCTGCCATGAGGACACTCATGAACTGACAGAGGAGGGCATTCATTCAGCCAGCAGTTTCCAGATACCTAAAAATGTGCTGATTTAACTGAAGAAAGAGCTTTAATGGATTGGACTCCTCAGAGACCCTGTGTGAACCCATTATATCAACCACTTATATCTGCCAGCACACACAAAAATCATGAGGCCGTTTACAATTATAGGCCCATTATTTAGAGATAGCTTCATTTGGCTTTCATCATTTTGTCATTGTAGATTACAACAAAAGTCCCATTAATATATCAATCTTGAGGACTAGAGGGAACCAGGATAATGGAATTGTGGTGGATATATCCTCTAGCGATAGAGTCTAAGTTCATGTGAGGTCACGTGTCTACAGAAGTTTCTAGAAAAACTGAAAAAAAGCTGAGTTCTCTTTCTTGATGCTGGGTTACTTCACTGTGTATGACTTTGAGCCACTCCTTTCGCCTCCCAGAACAGCCGTTTCTTTCCCTAGAAGATAGAAACCCTACATTAGATCTGAGAAGCTCGGGGATTCTAGAGGTTCATCAGGAGTAGGCTAGCAGTGGAGACAGGTCAAGGCCCAGCAGCCAAGGCCCAGCAGCCAAGCCCCAGCCTCTCCCTTTACCTAAAGCAAAGCAGGACTGCCCTGTTTTGGCTGCTTTGTCTCCAAGTCAGGTACGCTTTGAGGCTAGACCCAGATTGAAAACACACTGACAGAGGCTCCTTGGGATTCCTTCCTGTCTGGATGCCTGACCCTCTAAATAAGTCCCTCCTTCCTCTTTTCCCTGAGAAGTTCCAGGAGAAAGCAAATGGAAGCATGCTTTGGTGTTTACAAGAGTCTCCTTGAAAGCAGAGATTTTACCGTCTAATTCAAATCTATTTTACTATGAATCAAACCAGTTTCCCTCTATTCAAATTTTGAGCAGTGGTAACAAACAGTAAAAGTGCCTTCATGAAGAGAAATTTTATTGGGCTTCAGTTGGAAAAGTAACTTTACTAAGCATCTTAGCCACTTCTTGGACTGAGCTGAAAAATGTGACTTGTCTCATTAACCATTCTATAGATTGGTTTTGTTTTTTGTTTTTTTGTTTTTTTTTTTCATAATTAAAAGCTTTACCTCTGGGTTTAAAAGTAGTTGTTTGTCTCATTCTGTCCCAATTTTCTTTTTCCTTCCTGTTGCTGGATTGGTTCTCTTTGACTCGGAATCAACCACAGGCGTAGCTCAACCGTGAGGAAACAGGTAAGAGTCCATCCAGTAAGAGGCCGGGAATGTAGCTTAGTGCCACAGTGCCTGCCTGGCTAGTGCAAGGTCCTGAGTTTAATGCCTGGTACAAAAATTTAAAAAAAAAAAAAAAAAAAGTCCCATAAGAGCCAGGCTATATCCTGTAGCCATTTAAGGACTTCACCATGGACAGGGCAGACGTCTGACTTCATGTCTGCATTTGGAATGTACCCATTAGTCATGGTATGGCTAAGATTTTGGTACGTCACTGATTTAACTTTAGATGCAATGGTCATAGTCTTTATGACCTGTTTTTCTCCTCTCTCATTGTTTACCTTCTTGTGTACTCAACATTTGCTTTAAATGGAACGGACTGTGCTAAAGCTGCCCAGAGCACCACACAGAGGCCTCGCCCTCACTCACATCCACACTGGTGTGGCGGGAGTCCCAGTAGCTTGTCCCTGAAGCAGGACAGTCTTGCTCTAAGTTTGCAGCTGTCTTCGCTTCTGCAATGTGGTCATCCTAGTTGTGTCCCTTATGTGTGCTAATAGCATAGAGCTGGGTCAGCTCTGCAAATGACAGACAGGAGCTGTTTGGCTCTGCAGCTTGGCACATGAGCTTCACCGCTGTTTCACGCCAGCTCTCATTACCCATATTAGGAGGGCTCATAGGGAGCTGTGGCATGGACAGCCCACATCACTGGGTAATCTAAATCGCACTTGTGCTTGTTTGAAAAAAAGTAATTGAAGTATTTTTTGCAGTAGCAAATCTGACTTCCTAATTATACTTTGTGGCAAATCCTGAAGTGATTGTATGTTCCCTAAGCTCATACAATTTTTGCAGAAAGTAGTTAGTGGGGAGATGGTAAGAGCTCAGAAAGATCTTTGTGTCTACTCAGGGAGAAAGTGATCCAGGCTTTACAGAGTCCTTTTGGGTAACTCACAGTGGCCCTAGCCACAGGGAGATCATCACATGGAGAGGCATGTGGTTTCTGTGGCATCGGCAGCCCCAGAGGTGTCTTCGGCTGATCACTCTGCTCCAGCGGGGTGTGTAGGCCTGGAGCGCAGAACACGTAGGCCTCACTTGCCTTACCCTGCTGTCATTATCCCCCACCCCTTGGATCTCGTGGTAGTGAGAACACATTGGATGTCTTTGTACCTTTTTTTCTTTTCCTTGAATCCTTTATTCTTTCCGTCCTCTCCTCCCCTTCCTTCCCCTCTCCCTCCCCTCCCCTTTCCTCCCCTCCCTTGTCACTCCTCTTCCCTCCTCTCCCCTGTCCCTTCTCCTTCCCTCCTCTCTGTCTATCTCTGTCTGTCTGTCT